GCCTGAGGCGTCTTACCTCACTTCCTTTTTCTCCCAGCATTCTCTTCTGTTTACTCCACCCACCTATGTTCTAAGCTATGAACCCAAGCAGTTTGTTTATTACTTAACCAATGAAATCAACAGATTGATATATGACACTCCCACATCAGGCGTGTGCCACCACCGCCCGGCTTTCCTTTGACTTTTGAGAGAGTCTAGCTGAGAGAGCCAACTGGCCTTGAACACAGATTCTTTCATACTGCACCTTGTAAGTGCTAGGATTACAGATGTGCTCCACTATACCTGTAGATATGATAGTTTTTTTTTTCTTTTTTCTTTTTTGGTTTTTCGAGGATATGATAGTTTTAACACAGGATCAGGAACATATTATATAACACACGAATCTTACAATAGATCATTTAACATACAATTAATGAGTAAAGAATGAGTCATATATTATGATAAAAAGGTTGATTATTCAACAAAACAGTATATGAGAATTTGTTTAGATATTTCCAAACTAAAGTAAAACACCACCTGGATTGCACACTAAATAAATTTTATGATTTAACTATATCTTAAAACTAATCACTGTATCCTAAAAGAAAATGTGAGTTCGAGACCAGCCTGGTCTACAGAGCTAGTTCCAGGACAGGCTCCAAAAGCCACAGAGAAACCCTGTCTCGAAAAACCAAAATAAATAAATAAATAAATAAATACTTCAAATATATCTTTTTTAATTTTTAATTTTATGTACATTGGTGGTTTGCCTGCATGTGTGTCTGAAAGGATGTTGGAATTCCTGGAGTTACAGACAGTTATGAGCTGCCATGTGGATGCTGGGAATTGAACCCAGGGGTCCACTGGAAGAACAGCCAGTGCTGTTAACCACTGAGTCATCTCTCTAGCCTCTACTTCAAATATATCTTAATATATATATATATATATATATATGTGTGTGTGTGTGTGTGTATGTATATGTTTTGAGACAGAAACTTCTAGTGTTCCTGTGTTTGTCTTCTAAGTGCTTTTATTACATTTTATTTTCTTAATGTAATACTAGAAATGTTTTTTTTTTGTTTTGTTTTGTTTTGGTTTTGGTTTTGGTTTTTCCAAGACAGGGTTTCTCTGTAGCTTTGGAGCTAGTCCTGGAACTGGTTTTGTAGACTAAGCTCTTCTGGAACTCAACAGAGATCCACCTGCCTCTGCCTCCTGAGTGCTGAGATTATAGGCGTGCGCCACCACTGACTGGGTATAAATGTCTTAAATAAAGAGAATGGATATAGTATAATAAGATTAAAAATTATAAAGTCATAACACAAACTTAAACAAGTGATTTTCTAAATTTTGAAAATATTAAATGTGGTTTAGAAATCATTCTTAGAGAGCCTGAATTAATTAACTGAAGAGAATAACATGGGCTTATATTTTTTTCATTTTTGGAAATTTTGAGTAATGTGTATATAGTAAAACTCATTGTTGTAATCCTTATGGTGATAGATCCTTATTTTAATTTCCTTTTTTTAGTCAGTATAAAGTAATCTTAATTTCCTATAGCATTCAACTAAGTATACATTTCAAAATATCTACAAAAGATTTATAAGATTCTTAATACATAAAAAAATTGAGAAATTGAAAATGCTAATTGCAGTAATTTAGTAATTGCTTTACTACATGCTATCCAATTTAATACCATAACCTGTCAATAAATATTTTATGTCAATTAAAAATTTAAACGAAATAAAATTTTAAAAAGAAATTCAATATGAAGTGATTACAATGCATGGAGGAACATCAAACACCTGTTGCTAAATTAAAGAACCCACGGTAAAAAGGTAACACAGCATGAATCCAACATGGCACACTAGTGAAGCAGAGCTTTTGGAGATAGCAAGATGAATGTTTTCCAGAGAGGGAGGGAGGGAGTAGAAGATACGGATGAATAGGTTGGGCGCCGAGGGTGTTTAGGATACAACTCTAGTTGCTAGATGTTATGGTTTATCTTGATTATATCAGTGTTCAAATACAATCCAGTGGTGATATATATAAAGTGAGTGATGAGAAATGTATAGAATAACAAATGTATATTGTAATTCTTGGAGACTACTACTAAAACAATAATTCTAAAGATCCTCAAAATTCCACTATTGTCTTTCTAAACTTTTAGCTATCCCTGACCTATTTCTTATTCTTAGAGTTTTCATTTTCTCCATGTAATATAAACATGCATATACAGTAGAAAGCCTTTTAACTCTAGCTTTATTTGTCGGAGGGCAGTGCACATCAAAGTCATCCCTACTGTTAGTTGTTCAGTGGTTTGTTTTCTTTAAAATTACTTACTAGTGTTTTAAAACTAGATTTTATGATGTTGCCTTGGTGTTTTCCATTTGAGGACACTTGTTTCATACTTTGAGTAATTATGAATAAAGTTGTAGTAAATAATAATGAACAGTTTTTCATATGAACCTAATTTATTTGAGTAAATTGCTAAGAATATCATTACTTATTACTATGGTAAGTTTATATTTAATGAGAAACTTAGAGATTCTTTACCGAAGTGGTTGTAAATTTCCCAAACCTATTGAATGTGTAATAGTTACTTTAGTTATTCTAATAGGCATGTGTCTCAACATGTCATTTTTTATATATATTTGTCTTTATAAAAATGTTTGTTCAGATCTTTTGACCATTTGTAAAAGCTGAATTTTTTTTGCTAACTTTTGATTTTTTTAACGTTTCGAAGACAAAGCAGTAGATAATGCAGTATGCAATTTTTTGTCTAGATTTTTTTTATTTTATTATTGTATCTTTTAAAATTATTTGTTCTTTGAGAGTTTGATATAGTTTTTTTATCATATTCACCCTTCTCTCCCCACTTTTTTCAGATCCATGTACCTATACCTATAAACTCAAATTTTTTGCCCTCCCCTTTTTAAAAAATTGTTAAAAATGGCTAATTTCTGCTGCCCAAATGTTCTTGGATGTGTGGTTTTCCACTGGACAGTTGTCAACCTTCCAAGGGCTACACTTTTAAAGAAAACCTTCCCCTCTGTTAGCAGCTACTAATTGCATATATCTCCACAATTACCTTTTAAGTACATTTTTTTTTATTTTGATGATACTGTATGCACTAAATCTTTCTTCTTCTATGGTTTATACTTTTGATGTCATACCCAAGAAATTTTTGTCTAGTACAGAATCAGAAAGATTTTACTCCCTATTTTCTTTTTGTAGTTTTAACTTTTGTATTTAATTCTGTGGTACATTTTCAGTTAATATTTGGTCATGGTATGAGTATATTGTGTTTTTTATACTTACATAAAAATTTGTTTTAGCACTGTTTGTTTAAATAGCTTTTCTTCTTTAATGGAATTCCTTTTCATTTCCACCAGAAATCAAGCCAATTTTGTTATATAATAGGTGTGTGTGACCCTTATCATTTCATTCTATAAAATCACATAACACACTGGAAGAGCAAAACTATAAGTTTGGGACCTAGGTTGGTGATTCCCAGTGATTGTGAGGAGTGAAGAAACACAGACAAGAGATAGCATGACATGTTTTCTGAGAATTGTTTTATATCTGATTTTGTTAATGATTACAAAAGTATATGGTATGTTAAACCTGTGGACCCGTGCACCAAACTGTAAATCATATTTTATGCAAATTTAAAAATAAAATCTTAACTTAGCCTAAAAAAATACCTACAGGACTTAAGAGAAAAACAAAAGCCACCACTACAGTATTTACTCAGAGCCACATGATTAAAAAATGTAGAAAGTAAATGTAAAAACTGTTTTACGTGTTCATATATATAATTGAGTACTTAATGACTGCAGTGTACATTGTGCCTTCCCTTAGAGAAATGCCTAAAGTTTGCTTGTAGGTATAGATATCAGAAACATTTCAGTTGTGAGTTATAATAAAGAACTGGTGGGAACTGTATTATCTGAATTGGAAAGGAACACTGTTGGACTAGGTAGACAGAAGTGATTCATTACAAACATAAGCTGAGGTAGCTGGCAGATGTTTGTACTTTCTGTATTCTACTAGTCTTCAAGTCCATGTTTTGCTCAAGTTATTTTCTGATATACAAATTGCATTGAAATTGATTTGCATTTTGAAACAAGATTATAGCAGAACTAAATATCTTTCAGTATATCAGTTTAAACATTATTCCATTGAAAGTGTATATATGTGCCCAGCTTTCTTCTATATTTGACTGTGTTTATTATTATATCTGTCTAGTACATATTTAACTTAGTATAAGATAATTCAGTTTTTTTATATTTTTCAAAGCTTATTTACAGTATTGTTTTCATGTTCTTTCACATATGTTTTAGATTCAGGTTGTTGATTTCTCCCAAAGAAAGCTTATTAGAAATTTATTGACATTTCATTGATTCTCTGAGTATGCTTTAGAAGAAATAACAAATTAACAATATTGAATCACCAGTGTATAAATACACTATATCTTTCCATGTACTTAGAATGGCTTATTTCTTTCATCAACGTTTCTAGTTTTCAGTATAATTATCTTATGTCTTATGTATGCTGAAAAGCTATTTGCAAAGTGTTTAGTGGTACTATAATACTCCTTTTAAATTTAAATTTCTATTTTTCTGTTACTTTTATAGAAAATATTGAGTTTATATTGATACAATTGGTTCTCTGAAGGCTTTAAATACAAATCCATTTTTGTCCATGCATGCTGTGCTTTTGTAATATTTTTAAGGTATAAATTACTACATCACTTTATACTTAGGATAATGTGACAACTTTTGCTATTTTTTTTATCCCTGAAGATTATAGTCCTGACAAAGTGTATTTGCCTCAGCAATCTTTAAATGCTCTTAAAGAGCTTCAACATTAAATATTGACTGAATTTTGTTGTTTCAAATTATCTTTTTCAAGAGTAATTTAGGCCAAAGTAAAATGTTTGAATATTTAATTCATTATTTTGGTTTTTGGTATTTCGTATTTCTTGAGATTTTTCAACCTCTATTTGTGATAATGCACAGATTTTGGGCTTAGCAAAGAGTCAGTGGATCAAGAAAAGAAGGCATACTCATTTTGTGGCACTATCAAATATATGGCTCCTGAAGTAGTAAACAGACGAGGCCATTCTCAGAGTGCTGATTGGTGGTCATATGGTGTACTTATGGTAAGTTGTATTATTTTCCTTAGTTATCTCAATATATGCTTAATACTATTTAGGGTTTTAGTTTAACTTTTGGGTCAGTTCAGAAAAGTTTTCTTCTGGTAATTCATGACTAATGTTTGCAACATTGTGATCGGTAAACAATAAGGGCTAAGGTTTTAATGTTTTCCTTTTAATGTTCCTATTGAAAAAGTAAATGGCAAGATTTTTTTTATATAAACTGTATCTGAAATTTAGAAAAGGTCTAGATGATTCTGGACCTTACTAATATTTATATACTATTTTATTATGTATCACAGAATTTATCATCTTCATCTTATTTGTCCAATTGTTTCACACCTGTCCTATAATTACTGGCAGATATATTCCTACTATATTTTTATCTCACTCAGTAACTAATAGAGTGGTATTTATATAAATTCTAAATACAGGTGATAGTTGGCTATTGAATCATGTCCATTTTCTTTTGAAGTCTAATTGTCCATTTTCCCATTTATCATGTAATGTATAGAGTACATGACACTACCATATACTAAATATCTGTTAAAAGCAGGCATTTGGGGAAGGCAGTACATAAAAAATAATTAAATTACAACATTTTTCCTGATTAAAGAACACATAAAATCTGCTGGAGAAATAATTCAAGTAACTAAGGAAACCTCCAGAAGTATCCTAAAGTTTGAGGAAGATTTCATTTAAATTTAGTATAGATGAGAGAGATGGAACTTAATTGCTGAAGTATAAATAAAATTTAATAGCTGCATGTTAAGAAAAGCTAATTATTGTGATTGTATTAGCAAGTCTTTGGGAAGCCAGTTTGGCTAGAGAAGTCAGGAAGGGTGAAAGTGCAGCTGTAAACCCATAAACCTTCACGCGATGCTTTTGCTATATGCAAACTGTTAGAGTTTGAGTCAGGATGGTGAAGGAAAGTTAGATTTTTAGGGAGATTAACCTTGGCATTATATAAGTAGATTGGAGATGGGAGGGAAAAAATCCTTAGGAACAGGAAAATAAAATCTTTCAAAATTGTCATAAGATTAGAGTTCACAAAAAAAGGAAATTTTAAAGGCATTTCAGATAGCATTTGACTAGTCTTAGTAGCTGATTAAATGACACAGGTAAGATGGAGGAGATGATCCAAAGGTAAAGGTCCCTTTCCAATATCTGAATTTAGGGGTGTGAAAGTATAGTAGATTGGTAAGAAAGCTATATTGGTAGAAATACCTACTGGCAACTGGTAGGGAAATAATGCATCCACATGTAGCGCAGGTTAACTGTGTGTAAAAAGGGACACTGAAGAAAAAAAGGAATCATTTGGCAACTTTATGAAAAGATTATATCACAATGAGAGGGGGATGCTATCCAACAGTTTGTGAGAATGTAGGATTCTTAGATGCAATCTCTCCCTTTTTGTCTGTCTACCATCATATTGCTATAGATTTTGGTGAGAAAAGTAGTGCCTGATCGAGAATGAGTTTGCAGCAGCTGATTTGTTGTTGCCATGGTACAAGAGAGATTAATGTATAAAGCAACTAAGGTTATGAGTTCAGCTTACATGAACAGAGGACAGATGCCAAAGCCATTAGTCAATTTTAGTTTGCAATATAATTATTAGTTCTATAATCTTGTATGTACATCCATGAGCTTGTTTGTGTGTCTGTGGTGGGGGACAAACTAGAAGTTGACAAAATATCTTCCTCAGTTGAACTTCACTTTATTATTGGACCTGAATCTCATCAGTTTAACTAGACTGACTAGCAAGCTCCAGAGGTATAACTAGAGGTCCACTTGTTTCTCTTCTCACAGTACTGAGCTTAAGGATGCATGCCTATCATATCCAAACTTTGTGGCAGACACTTTTCCCACTAAACTATTTCCCCAGCTTCTTATAAAGTTCTTTAATGAACTAGTAAGATCTTTAGTTTAGGACTTTGTCCCTCCTTCCTTCTCTCCCTCCCTCCCTCCCTTTCTTTCTTTTTCCCTTTTTGTCTGTTTGTTTTGTTTCTGTACTAAAGATTTAATTAAACCTTAGAACCCTCTTCAGTCTAGTCAAGTGTTCTACCATAAAACAGAATTCTCGCACTTAGACTTTAAAAAATAATTGTACATATTATTTTATGTTAATTCTTAGTTGGATCTCCATAGTAAAATATTTTCTTTATTCTGTGTCCAAATGTCTTCATTTTTTCTTTTATAAATGTATTATTTCACACAGGCATATGTGTGTATGTGTCTCTTACGTTCTACTTAATTTGGGGGTACTGGATTTAATCCCAAGGTCTTGCACATGCCATCAAGTGCTTTACCACTGACCTGTGTCCCAAGACCTTTAAAAAAATTAGAGGTAAGGCCCTTTAAAGGTAACCAGGATGGCTTTGAACTAACTGTGTAGTAGTTGAGGAAGGCATTGAACATGTAATTCTTTGGCTTCATACTCTAAAATAAATGATATTATAGGAATATACCAATACCTTTGATCTTACCTCCAATTTTGGAATTCAGTTTTTTAATTTCTATATTTTTGTTTGAGATTAAAAGGAATTTAGAATGGTTAATTTTTAAATTTTTTTCTTGGCATGAATAAGTCCCAGATGCTTTGACACATAGTTTTATTTTCCCATTATTGTTATTTACGTAAACTTACATCTTTGTTTATAAAACAGCTTAAAAATAAAAAAAATAAATAAAACAGCTTAATATTTTTTTTTCCTTTAACAAGAAGGATTGTTGCAAAATTGACTTTCATTTTTCCTTTGGTGCAGATAGAATTAGGATTTTTTTGCCCCTACTTTGAATATTTAAAAAAAAAAAAACTACTTTGTCATTATATGTACCAATCCAAGTTCCCACTCCCTCCCCTCCTCCCATTCCCTCCACATACCCCCTACCGGACCCCCATCCATTCCTCAGAGAGGGTAAGAGATTTTGCTTTGGGAAAGGTCCAAGGCCCTTCCTACTATAGCAAGGCTGAGCAAGGTATCCATCCAAAGAGAATAGTACAAGCTGTAGGGATAAATCCTGGTGCCACTGCCAGTGGCCCCACACACAGTCTGTCCCAGCCATACAACTGTCACCCACATTCAGAGGGACTAGTTTGGTCCTATGCTTGCTCCTTCCCAGTCTGGTGGAGTTCGTGAGCTTCCATCAGCTCAGGTAGACTGTTTAAGTGGGTGTCCCCATCATGGTCTTGACCTCTTTGCGCATATTCTCATTCCTCCCACTCTTCAACTGGATTTTAGGAGCTCAGTCCAGTGCTCCGATGTGGGTCTCTGCCTCTGTTTCTATCAGTTGCTGAATGAAGATATTTAAATATTAAATAGTGATATTTAAGTTATTCATCAGTATGACTACAGGTCAAGTCAAGATGTGGCCCTCTCTCCTCTATTGCTTAGGGTCTTAGCCGGGGTCATCCTTGTGGGTTCCTGGGCATTTCTCTAGAGCCAGGTTTCTTGCTAATCTGATAATGGCTCCCTCAATCAAGATATCTCTTTCCTTGCACTCATCTCTGTTCTTTCTCCTTCTCAACTATCCCATTCCCTCATGTTCTCCTTACCCCTACCCTTCTCGCCTCCTTTTAATTTCCACCCTCCCTTCTTCCCTGACCCCAGTGCTCTTAAATTTGTCAGGCAGTCTTGTCTGTTTCGACTTTCCAGGAGGATCTATATATGCTTTTCTTAGGGTTTACCTTATTACTTAGCTTCCCTAGAATCATGAACTATAGGCTCAGTATTTTTTTGTTTATAGCTAGTACCCACTCATGAGTGAGTATATACTATATTCATATTTTTGGGTCTGGGTTATCCCATTCAGGATAGTGTTTTCTAATTCTATCCATTTGCATGCAAAATTCAAGATTTTGCATGAGTAGTACTGAGTAGTACTCTAATGTGTAAATGTGCCACATTTTCTTTATCAGTTGAGGGGCATCTAGGTTGTTTCCAGGTTCTGGCTATTACCCCATTTCTGATTGTGTTTTGAGTCACTGTCAACTGAAATTTGCATGATTTAATAGTCATGTACTATAAGTCTTGGTTTTAAAAACAAATGTAATTATATATTCTAAGTTGTAATAAATTGTGATTATTTTATTTTCTAGTTTGAAATGCTTACTGGCACTTTGCCGTTTCAAGGTAAAGATAGAAATGAGACCATGAATATGATACTGAAGTAAGTAGAAACACTATTTTATTTGTGGAAATATTCTTGCCTCTATTATTAAAATCTTAATGTGGTTTTCAACAGACTTAAACTATTTTTGTCTTTTTCTCTCATTCTAACATATTGGGAACTCATTAAAATTTTTAAAATTCACTTTGAGATTTATTGACTTACTACTGTGTCTAGATTTAAGTGAAATTTTCTGCAATGTTTTTCAGAGCAAAACTTGGAATGCGTCAATTTCTTAGTGCTGAAGCACAAAGTCTTTTGAGGATGTTATTCAAAAGGAATCCAGCAAATAGATTGGGTATTATTAATCTTCTTTAACCTTGATAACAATGTACTACATATAATAGCCAAGAAACTGTATCTTTATGTTTTAGTTTAAGTTCATTTATGATTACTGTATATTTACATTTGAATTGTGGACTTTTAGTAGTTTATATCAAATAAAAATTTTGCTTATGATTAATCAGCAAAATTAATAGACATGAAATAGTCTAGTTAACAGAAATCATGTACATCATATGAGCTGCCTTTCAAAAAAATGCAGTTTACTTTGTATTGATAATCCTTTTAAATGTTTGATGATGACTACTTTGCCTCTCCTAGTATACTTCAAAGTTATATTGCCTTTTCCTAGATCCTAATGTGATCCTATTATCTATGTCCTTGTGTTAAAAAGTACAGTGCTGTTTTCACCTTTGTAGACTTTAACATAGCGTATGACTATGAGACATGAATTGTGAAGGGCAATTACTTAGTTTAATATTATATTAAACAGAAATTGTATTTATTAGGAGGCGTTATAGTACCTAGTATTTCATTGTTGACTTATACAATTCACTATATGCATCGGTTTTCTTTCTTATTAATAGTAGATAAAGGACAAGTTAATACAATACCAGACAAGAAATCATAGATACTTTACTCTAAGCATCCTAGGAAAAATATACAGTCATGGGTTTTTCTAATAATATAGAAGCTAAGTAGCAAGATTAAAAGATTATGGCATTAAAATTATTTCCATATTACAGGATCAGAAGGAGTTGAAGAAGTCAAAAGACATGCTTTTTTTGCATCTATCCTGGAATGTAAGTTGAATATAAGTTTGTTATTAAATAATTTATATTGAAATGAGTAAGATTCTTTTGAATCTAGTAATATAGAGATTTGGCAGATACGCATAACCCATGTATTTTATATTAAGTCTGATATTTTTGTTTATAGTTATCACATAGCATGGCAATACCTTGAAGTGGTAGAGGTCCTGATAAAGTAATTTCTGTTTTGTCATTTGTTGTAACTGTTGTAATATGATCAATATTTATACTTCCACTCTAGATGAGGAGAGGATGAGATAGGGAAAAATGAGTGAGGCTATGACAGATCCTAATATAGGTAATAATAATAAACCCAGATATTTTTTAATTTCACATTGTTCATTGTTCTGCATTAGAACAAGCTAAATCAAGAAAAAACACTGTACTATAGATACTTATGCTTATGGATGACATGAAAGAAAAACATTGAGGAATTATGCTAAATTATTCATATTTTAATTTATATGCCCAGACTGATAGTCTTGTCTTAGAAAAACTCACTCTTCTAGTTCCTTGAAATATAGTAATTCTTTGATTTTTAAGTATAGAAATTACAGGTATTATTTTTGTTACTTGTCTCTGTCATTAGTTTCAAATTTTCCAAATTCTTGGTTTTCCCCCTTCATTCCATTATTTGTTCAAGTGTAAGATGATTGAAAACTTTGTATTTACAAAGTTTCCAATATTCATTTTGTTAGTGATTCCTGTTTTAATTTGCTATTATGAAAGGATACTTGATGTGATTTACGTGCTTCCAAATTCATTAAGAATTATTTTATGACCTGTTATATGGTCTAACTGGACTATGTTCAGTGGATTTACGAGAGGCTATTGGGTGGAATTTTTGGTAGATATGTTTAGTCCATTTGGTATAGGGAACATTTTAACATGGTTGTGTTTTTATTGGTTGATTGAAGTGATAAACTTCCTGGTTTTTGTTCCAGGTGAACATTGGTCTCTCTTTAGATCATTATTATTCATACATTTGTTTAATATTTGGTACCATGTACATTTAAATATATCAGTTTCTTTTGCTGACCTGACCTCTTTCTCATAAAGACCTTGTTTGCTTTTAGTACTTATGACCTCAGCTCTATTTTGTCTGCTGTACAATCATTGACACTTTGGTTTAAATTCAGTTGATCTGGACTGTTTTACTCCATCACTTCACTTTCACTCTATAATGGTGAAATGGATTTGTTGTAAACAGCATGTAGTTTTCTTTCCGCCCTTTCTCCTTGAATGCGTCTTTGTTTTGTAATACTAAAACAAGACGATATGATCACTAGCTTCATTTCCTTGTCTCAGTTGAAGCTGGTTTAGTAAGTGAATGGTTGTTCCATTTGTTGTTTTTGGACACAGATTGTCAGAGCATCTTGTTCAGCTGCAATCCTGTTTACCCATGTGTGTTTTTAAAACATACACAGTTTAGCAACTTAGAATATTAAGAAGAATGTATTTAATCTTATATGGAAACAAACTATTTTAGATGAAATAATCATGAAAATAATCTGACTGTTTTTTTTTCCATTTTTTTATTGAGAAACGGAGGAAAAAAAAAACAAGTTTCCACCTCCTCCCAGCCTCCCATTTCCCTCCCCCTCCTCCCAACCTTCTCCCCCTCCCCCCACCCCTCTCCCCCTCCCCCCACTCCTCTCCCTCTCCCTCTCTTGTCGAAAGAGCAGTCAGGGTTCCCTGCCCTGTGGTAAGTCTCTGAGCATGGCGAACAATGAGGGCTGATGAGAAGCCAAGGACAATGGCACGGGGTTTTGAACCTACGTAATGTGCTGGCTTGGTGGGAGCCTAGCCAGTTTGGATGTTCACCTTCCTAGAAATGGACGGAGAGGGGAGGACCTGACTGTTTTTTTTTAATATATATTTTTACTTAAAAATGTCCACCTCCTCCCATTTCCTTCCCCCTCCCCCATCCCCATACTCCCCATCCTCTTCCCCTCCCTCTCCAGTCCAAAGAGCAGTCAGGGTTCCCTGCCCTGTGGAAAATCCAAGGTCCACCCCCTCCATCAGGTCTAGGAAGGGGAGCATCCAAACAGACTAGGTTCCCACAAAGCCAGTACAAGCAGTAGGATCAAAACCCAGTGCCATTGTCCTTGGCTTCTCATCAGCCCTCATTGTCCGACACATTCAGAGAGTCTGGTTTGATCATATGCTCCATCAGTCCCAGTCCAGCTGGCTTTGGTGAGCTGTGTGCATATATATAAAAGGAAGTGAATGAATTTGAAAATAAAACCTATGAAATTATCTTGTATTTACTATATCTTATTCATACAACTCAAAGATAATTTCATAACCATATTTTAAGTGTGTCTGTTTTAGCTATAACTTGTCCACTTATGCTATCAACATTCAAAATGTTGTGAATATTAGAGTATTTGAATTTTCGATGTTGTATTAGGAATGCCCAACATGTGTTAATGATATTTTAAAATGTTAAATGTTTTTTTTCATTACTGCATTGCCTCTAGAAACTATATAAAAGAGAAGTTCAGCCTCCTTTCCGACCTGCTTCTGGAAAACCAGATGATACTTTTTGTTTTGATCCTGAATTTACTGCCAAAACACCTAAAGGTAATACATACTTATTTATAGCAAAGGCTTTTGTTCTAGTAATTATTACATAAATTAACTGTTTCAGTAAAAAAAAAAGAACATCTTCGTGCAAAACTAGTTTGGTGTTTGTGTAAATGTAGATTTTATATACCATATTGCTACAATCTGTAATTGGGAAATATTTATCAGTGAAATGTAAAGAAGGGTAAAATGCAGAATTTTTTTCTTTTTTTTTCTTTGTAAATTCCTTCTTAGCTTCCCAGGGTAATAATTTTCTAAATATGGTATGAAGTAAAACATGAGATGTGCGCTGGATCAGTTTAGAATCTGATCTAATTTACTTTTAGTGATTTCTGTTTCATGTGCTCGTTCAAGAAATATTGAATCCCTACTATGTGGTTTTTGGTAGTAAGGATGAAGCCATTAATAAAGATTATTGACCATATAAAATATGTCAGTCTAAAACAAGTAGAGAGGAAGTATGAGTCATATTTCTTGTGTGTTAGACTGTGATATTTAATGTTTCTTTTCCTTTTTAAAAAAAATAAATTTGCTGATCCTGTAATCATAAAGTTCTATATAATTTTAGTAAAATATAACTGTTTAAATGTTAGATTCTCCTGGTTTGCCAGCCAGTGCAAATGCTCATCAGCTCTTCAAAGGATTCAGCTTTGTTGCAACTTCTATTGCAGAAGAATATAAAATCACTCCTGTTACAAGTGCAAATGTATTACCAGTCGTCCAGGTAAATTCTTTACGATCATCACTATGTTTAGTTTCAGGTTAAGTATTTTTTTCACTTCTTAATAATGGATGTTTAATAGTTATTGAAAGATCATAGTTAATGACTTCATTTTCTCAATGTAATTCAGTTAAAAGTGTTTCTGTATGTTTGGGGAAAGTACAGATAGTAATTACCTTTAATATTTTTATATGTCCATTTTGGCAAGAAAATGTTGGAGTGATTTTTAAACTAGTCAATTCATCGCATTGCTTGGGATTTTAGAAAGCATACAATATAGAGTGACTTCAGAATTTATATATACAATTTTTAAATATTGGTAAAATTTCTAGAATTTTTTTAACTTTTAAGATATGTTAAGATGGTTTGGGACAAAAATTAAGAAAATGTGCAATTCATTTTCATTAGTATTTAATTTGTTTTAACAAAACAGATGAATGGAAATGCTGCTCAATTTAGTGAAGTCTATGAATTGAAAGAGGATATTGGTGTTGGTTCTTACTCTGTTTGCAAGCGATGCATACATTCAGGTTCCAACATGGAATTTGCAGTAAAGGTATTGTTTCTGAGCCTAATTTATTGTTTGATTTACATAGTTTGTATTGCAGATTAGCTCATACAATATTACTGGTACATTGAGGGAAAATCAGATGATGAGAAAAAGTTTGTGATTTAATATTTTCATTTTTAATTTCTTTGAAAAGTTTCATTTTGGAGAAATGGCATTATTTACTTACTTTTTGTTTTCTGACTAATCTGTAGCATACTATGTTAAGATTGAGCAACTATAGAACGTACATAATATTATTTATTAGTGTCTTAGTTAAAGGTGGTATACTTGATCTAGCTCAGTTTTTATATTACATTTCTATTCTATGGAATTTTTAAATGTTGAAACAATTAGAAAATGATGTTCTTGATTTCCTAAGTATTTTTGAATAACAGAACCCAATTGAAAGTTGGCGTGGTGGCAGTTGGGAGTACAGGAATTGTCATACGTTCAAGGCCAGACTGGGCTATATAATGAGTTCTAGCACACCTTAGGCCACATAGCACAATCCATCTCAAAACAATAACAATAAAATTCTAGATAGACAGACAGATAGATAAGATTGAGGAGTGGGTGGGTGGGTGGATGGATGGATGGATGGATGGATGGCTGGATAGATAGAAAAATATTTCTTTCTGCATGATAAAGAAAATCATTTAACTGTTTTTAAGATTTTCTGTGGTCTGTTTCTTAGATCATTGATAAAAATAAACGAGATCCTTCTGAAGAAATTGACATTCTTATGCGTTATGGACAACATCCCAACATTATCACTTTAAAGGCTGTAAGTATTTTAAAATCTAAGTTTCAACTAAGTTAAGAAAGTTATGAACTAGAACTTTATAGCTGTGATTCTTTAAATGCCAAATTTCAAATTGCTGCTTTTATTCTCCAGTGATTCTAAACATGTATTCTCTTTTTAAAGATTTTAGTAAAGAACTATGATTGTTGGCAAAAGAATATCCTAATAATCCATTTATATTCTAAATAGTTAACTCAGTAATGTTGCAACTAGAAATACTTTTCTCATCCCTATAAATGTAAAGGAAATTTATTCTGGAAAACTTACTTTCTTGATTATAGAGTAATTGTCTGTAAAATTATGGATCTTTTCTTGAATGAAATAGTATTAGTCTACAGTTTTTAAAAAAAAAACCTGTAACACACATATTGATGTATCTCTGAATAATGACTTTTATATTATAATTTAAACTCATTTTTGTGAATATACTAAACTATTAAACATCATCTTGATCAGTTTGTTTTAGATAATATAATAGTTTTATTTATCATATTTAAATAGTAGTTTGTATGTGCATGTATGTTTAAATGTATGTGTATGCAAATATATAAACATATTAAGTAGAAATATATCTCAAATATATATACTCATCTGTATTATATATAAACATACGAAGTAGAAATTTTTATTTCTTATCTATTTCTTTTAATGCACTATTTGAATCCAACATTGTTTCTAGCCATACTAGTCAAAGAACTAATAGGTGCTATGTCTATTATCACAAAAATGATTACTTTTGAAGAAGTATTTGTAATATAATTAAAATAGCATGTACATGTTATTTAAGAAGCATGGATTTCTACTCTTGTTTATGTGTTTTGTTGAAATCTCTAACCTTCAACTTCAAAAACTTCATATTTGATATGATCTTCCAGAACTACACAGGAGATGATTTTTCCACTTCATTCTTCAATACAACCTTACTATATCAAAAAGAAAGAAATGCTGTATGTGCTTTGATTCTAAAGTTGTCCTGACAAAACAAAGTAAATATAACTTTAAAAATTTGGAGTAATGATTACAAATAATAAAACCTTAAAACACATTCTTTTTTAGGTCTTTGATAATGGGAGATATGTTTACCTTGTTACGGATTTGATGAAAGGAGGAGAACTACTGGATCGTATTCTCAAAAAAAAGTGTTTCTCAGAACAGGAAGCTAGTGATGTAATAACACTAGTGTATGTAATAACAAAGACAGTTGAATATCTTCATTGTCAAGGAGTAAGTTATAGTTGAATTCTTCCTTCAATTCTGGGACCTATATTGTATTTCTTGTATATTTTTATACACAATATACTAATAAAATTCAGTGTTATAGTGAAGCTTATAGAAAGTGGTTTGAAATATGTCTGTCTGTCTATCTACACACACACACACACACACACACACACACACACACACACATACACAGGGCTTGATAATTGATAGGACAAGGTTAGAGGTGTGTGTGTGTGTGTGTGTGTGTGTGTGCGCATGCATGTGTATTATCAAGCCTAATCAAACTTTATAGTGTGAGTCATCAAAGAAATATACAAATGGGTTTTAGTGGCTCGCCACTATAAGTTCAGCACATGGATGGCTGAGGCAAAAAAAAATAATAATAATTAAAATTTGAGGCCATCCTGAACTAAATAATGAGTTCCCTCAAACCTAGACTTCTAAAAGCTAAATAGAAAAATATTTACAGGCATATAAAGTATTATTGGAATTAGTCTATAACTATTATATTCTAGCACCAAAACGACTCTCTGTTGACTCTGACCAAATGCCCTAAATATGACAATAAGCTTTTATTCTAAACATTGAACTATCAATATGTTAAATCTTTTGGAGAAGAATTGTATATTTCTTTTTGTCATTTCATATATATGTAAGGTAGATGTGTTAAAATAAAAAAATGAAATTAAAATGCAAACTGCTTTTCAGAATTCATATAGTAGAAATTGTATGTAGCCCCACTTATAAATAATAAAAAATTTTATATGTGACCTAAGAAGACTTCAGTAGTTGGAAATAAATTGTGCAGCACTAAAGGAACACAATAATTTTAGTATGATTTAATCCGTCCAATTTCTTTGCAAGAATTTTAAAGGATAACAAAATTTTTGTAAGGCATGATAAACCAGAATTTTAAAAATACAATATGATAAACATCTGCTGTTTAGTTTTTTATAAATCTTGTTTATAGAACACCTAAATAGCAGATATTTTGAATATTTATATATGATAGATATTGTAAGCAAAGGGCTTTTAAGATTTAAACACTAAGTGAGATTTTGCCCTTGTCACTAAAAAGCATACATTGTTGTACATTGCTAAATGAAGGATATGAACTTATCAGACCTAGTATACCAAACAAGAGATTTTCAGTTTAAACTCAGCCAAAAATTATACTTAAAACAAAATAATAACCACTGGAGAATAGTAACAGAATATAAATATCTTCATAACTTTATATCTCCATATGATACAATATGTATGAATCCTAAAACTAGATTGAATGAATTGTAGAAGAAAAAAAATCATCACATTCAGAATTTAAACTTTTGCCAATTATTTGAGCCTTCTTCATTTTTTCTACTGAGTTTGCATTTTTTCTTGCGAATTTCATACGTTGTAAGTATGTTTTATTTTGTTGAGAATCTTTATAACCACTTAATTCTACAGATTCTAACTTGGTTCTTCTGAGAATCAGACCTAGATTATTTTTTTTTCTTGTGGCTATGTTCTACTTGTCTTGTTTATGTAAATCAGATGGTTTGTAATTGTATCCTATGGTGATATAAAGTTATGAAAATATTTATATTTTGTTACTCTCCTCCAGTGGTTATTATTTTGCTTTAAGTATAATGTTGGCTGAGTTTGAATTGAAATCTCTTGTTTAGTGTACTAGCTTTGATGTCTTCATATCCTTTGCTTTCATATAAAATCTTAATTTTATGTGTCAGTGCTGGTTCTTTGCTGTATAGTTGTCTCAGCTTTGTTTTTATGTTCTTCTGCTGTCTCTTTTCTGCTCTTCTCAAACAGAAGTATTTATTTTTTTCCAAATGAAGGTGTATAATAGAGACTGCTCTTAGTTCTTAGTGTAATAGCAACAGATATGGGAACCTACCCACAACTCTGGTTCATCCTTCAGCCAAATGTGTTACTCAACACTGTTTCTTTACTTTTCTAAATTCTCTTGAGTCTGAAGGCTCTTAACTTGTGTACTATATCAAGAGTTAATAGTCGAAGTGGATGTGGGGCACTGGGTGAAACTTTAGACTATTATATCTAAAAGTAGAACCAATTGAAGATAGAAATACTGGCAGATAGTGTAATGTCTACCTCGCAGAATACTTTTCTCGTTATTTTTGATGCCATAGGTTGGGAATAAAATGGGAAATTTTTTTTCTATAAACATATTAAATGTTTTAACAAAAAATTAGTTATACAATTATAATGCTGTTTTCTTTTATATTCAAGGTTGTTCATCGTGATCTTAAGCCCAGTAATATTTTGTACATGGATGAATCAGCCAATGCAGATTCAATTAAGATCTGTGATTTTGGGTTTGCAAAACAGCTTCGAGGAGAAAATGGACTTCTGTTAACTCCGTGCTACACTGCAAACTTTGTAGCACCTGAGGTATTCTTTAGGTTTTACTGTTTCCTGTTCATTGTCTTGCTTAAATTAAGTCTATATGATGGCAAATATGTTGGTGAACACAGGAAAAAGCAGATGCCATTTTTTATAACAATAAAGCTCTTTTAAAATTTGAATTATAATTTATAATATAAAGTCAGGTAATTACTAGCATCTAAATCAAACATATATCTTCTAATCAGAGTAGTCTGTTCTTTTAGGCTATATACTAATATAGAACTTGTATGATTTTTAAAGAGGGTTTTACTATATAGCTATTACTCACTAAAGCTGCAACACACAGCAAAGTCTTCCTTTGTCTCCTGATGGCTGGGATCACAGATGTGTGTCAATATGCCTTGCTAAGAATCATACATTTTAGGACTAAGATACATCTTTAGATTCACTTTTGATTTGTTTTTAAATAGAAACATTGTTTTTGCCTGTTAAATCATCTGTTGTTCCTTGGGAACGAAGAGTTAAGAGAAGATGAGGCTGGAAAGTTCAGGACTACAGATTGTACTTTAGGAGCTCTCTGATATTAGTACATCCTGAAGCAGTAAGACAAGATTGGTGAAGTCAATCAGGGATTGCACTGGCTACATAAATTTCTTTATAACATGTGTTTATAAGTCAGGAATTGTTTTTAACATGTTGTAGATGTTGATCATCAATGGCAGTTGTTATATACTAATCCAAATATCTAAAACTCATTTTGAAAAAAAAATGATTTTGCCAAATCAGAAAAGTATGATCAGATAATCTGAAAGTGAATTCTTATCTCATATATATTTTATATTTATATCAAATAATTGATCATTTTAAGCAGCTAATGTATGTTGTATGTAAATATATTTTAAGTTAGATGTTATGAAAATATTTTCTGAAAATGAAAATAAAAGTAACTATCGATGAACTATTCTTTTAATTTTTATGAATTTCGCTTTAGATGCGATTGGGGTATAGATACAATTTTGCTTTTATAAGCTCTTGATGATATGATTTGGTTTGTAGCAAATTAGGAATGTGTGAGTGATTTATTCTGTACTTTAATGACACTTATAATGAATATACCATTTTTACTCAATTATACTGGGTAGAAGCTATGCTTTTCAGAAATAAATCTGGGGTACATATTCCCAAAGAGGTTATTTTATTTGGACTGCCCTCATGTGTATGAGATACTACCTTGTACATAAAAAAAGTATTTCTAGGCTTTCTTTTTAATAGGTTAGGAAACCAGAATATTTGAAATGTGGTATCTTCTGCTAAATATAATCTATATAGTCACCATAAATTTTCTAAATAGTTATCTTTAATGCAAATAATAATATATTAACTACTTATTTTAATGGGAAAATTTTTAATCTTGGCTTAATTTTGTATAATTTTTCTCTTTGTTTTTTTTTTATAGAAACTTACTAGAAAAAGTTTAGGAATGAATGTGTCCCAAAAGAGCACCAAAATAATTAAAATAAATTAACACACAGTATATGCATGTTTAGATTAATTGTTAGATAAACATTTTAGGATTAATGGTTAGGCCATCATTTTAATGAATATATGTACACAGTACAATACAGTACACTGCTGCTTTTTCATCCTAGCAGACTTCCACTGCAATAAGACACTTTGTTTATTGTAATAGTGAGAATTTTTCAGGTGGGCATGTGGAGAGCACTTCTCCACAACTGGCATTTATTTGAACTATCTTTGGCTCGCACTTGTGTGTTTGGAGTGCTTTGAAATATTTTATCAAGTGCTGAAGACCCTGCCAAAAGTTAGTAATTATTTCTAAGTTCCTAGAAATGAAATACATTAGTCTTTAAATTTTCAGATTCTGTCAAAATATGCTATCAAACTACATACAAGATAGTCATTTTAAAATGGAATCATAAAGCTTGAAGTAACCATGCAAATATTTTAAGAAATAATAGAATTTATGGGGCTGTGCTTTCATAATTTAATCACATTACATAAGAGTCCTGATTTTCTAAGAAAAATCACTGGTTATTGCATTTTTATTTTATTTTATTTTTTAGGTTTTTCAAGACAGGGTTTCTCTGTAGCTTTGGAGCCTATCCTGGCACTAGCTCTTTAGACCAAGCTGGCCTTGATCTCACAGAGATCTGCCTGTCACTGCCTTCCCAGTGCTGGGATTAAAGGCGTGTGCCACCACCACCTGGCCTTGTTATTGCAATTTTAACATAGCATTAAAAAATAATGTTCACTAAGTTTTTGGATATGTTTTGCTTCAGTCATCCTTTATGTGCATTTCTTTATTCTAATCTCTCTAAAATTATCCTCAGTTATTTACTTTTATACAAGAAAATCCAAGAATATTATATTACCTGACTGATAATAAATGTGTAATTAAGTCTTAGAATGGTCTTGAATCTATTTAACTTAAAATAAATTTGAAGAATGATATATTCACAGCTTCTGATAATATAATATTGAAATTACCTTATTTTTTATGGATTGTGCTGCCATATGTTTTTTGTCAAATATTTATTAAACAGTGCAAAAGAAATTAGAATTTCTATGTGTTACTTTTTGGAGACTTGCAAATCCAAATGGTAGAGAGGGTTATAGAATTAACTATTTTAATTGTCCCAAATTTATCTTGATGCAAGTGAAAAGATACAAAATTACAGGCTGAATACTATCCTCATTCATTAATTCTACCACCATGCCTTGTTTCTCTTTTGGCTTCATGTAGTCATTATTATATGACATTGAAGACTAATTATGGAACAAAATATTTTCCTTTTATACCCACACAGAATGTGACTAAGTTTATAGGAAGTAAAAAACGAGATTTGTGTGATAAACTATAATATTATAACACTTACTGCACAGTTCCACTGTTCTCATACCTTAGAAAAATTATATAGATATTGGGCCTTTTCTTAACCCTCAGGCTTCTGGATTTAAGCAGTTTTCCTGCCTTAGCCTCCCAAGTATCTAGGACTATAGGTGCATGTCACTGTTGCTGCTATAGTAGGCAGCAGGAATATGGGAGAGTGAAGCCCTAAAATGAGATAGACTAAAGTTTCATGCAATAGCTAATTTTATTCAAAGCATCAGACTCTTTATATTCTCAGAATTAAACAAGGTCAAATGAGCAAAGGTTGCACGCGTTTAGGCTTTTGACAGTCACAATGTTTTACCTCTGTTTGGAAACATCAGTCTAAATAGTAATAGATGATAAGTTATGGGTAATCTAAAGCAAACACACTTCTATTTACTATACCTGGGAGGGGGCAAATGAAGTGTCTGTTATAGAGAAACAGAGGTTACAAGACTTTGGCCTTGTTGTCTTGGCATTATTTCTCAAGCTTTCAGAATCTCATGCAAACCACCATTTCAGGTAACTCTGTGAAGGCGCATAAAATACAAATATGAGTAGGGCAAACTAGGTAAACATGGGATGTCTAGAACTTTAAGAGGTGTTAAGAAATGAGAACATACAAGAATAAAAACACTGTGATGTAGCTTTAGGTTGCAATCATTAGAGCTTCTATAGTCCAGTCTTCCATAGCATTTCAGTTTTAAATATGTGTCCTTTATTTGTTCTAAAAAAATGTCTCATATACCCAACACTGGCCTAGAGCTACCTGATTGTAAGCATTACAAGCATGCATCACCATGCATAACCATGTGTGCTCTTATTTATAAATGTATTTATAGGAATTATAAATATATTTTAAGCAAGTTACTTATTGTTTATATCTGATAATTGTGAAAGTCATAACTATAATATTTTAGCCTTTTCTAGATGAAAAGTCCACACTGATGGTTATGTAACCTTCAGTGTTAATGAATTAATAATCTTTCTGTTGTATTTCTTATGCTTTAGCAGTGTGCTTAATTTCTTAATTTAAAAAATGATGCCCTCATTTTATCTTTTTTTAATTAAAAAAATGACATTGATATGTTTATTCTGTGTGTTTGTGCACATGAGGAGAATGTGTATGCCATGGTGTACATGTGGAAGTCAGAGGAGTCAGGACCAGGCTCAGGCCACCATTGCTAACTGTGCCATCTCACTGTCTCCTCATCCCTTTAGTTTTTCCACAAATGCTCTTGAGCTTCTTAGAACTTACATTAATTTACAGTAAAAACATTTTTGGTATTTGTTAATAATGTCCTTCAAACAAAATTATTTGTACAAATTATTATATAAATACTAATAAAGCTATTAGGAATTTATCAGAAATATCCTGCTGTTTTCACAATACCATCTTTGTGTCTCAAACTATCTCATAACACAAGTTTTCCTATTATCTTGTTTTATCTTTTTTATTACAGATTTATACCCACATTACATAGATATAAATCATTATTGGAATTTGTTGTTGTATAATGTGTAGTCCTTTTTTTTAACTTTTTTTATTGAAAAAAGGAGAAAAAAAAACAAGTTTCCACCTCCTCCCACCTTCCCATTTCCCTCCCCCTCCTCCCACACTTCTCCCCCTCCTCCCACCCTTAGCCCCCTCCCCCCACTCCTCTCCCCCTCCCTCTCCAGTCCAAAGAGCAGTCAGGGTTCCCTGCCCTGTGGGAAGTCCTAGGTCCTCCCCCCTCCGTCCATTTCTAGGAAGGTGAACATCCAAACTGGCTAGGCTCCCACAATGCAAGCACATTAGGTAGGATCAAAACCCCGTGCTATTGTCCTTGGCTTCTCATCAGCCCTCATTGTTCACCATGTTCAGAGAGTCCAGTTTTATCCCATGCTTTTTCAGTCATAGTCCAGCTGGCCTTGGTGAGCTCCCCGTAGATCAGCTCCACTGTCACAGTGGGTGGGTGCATCCCTCGTGGTCCCAACTTCTTTGCTCATGTTCTCCCTCCTTCTGCTCCTCCTTGGGACCTTGGGAGCTCAGTCCAGTGCTCCAGTGTGGGTCTCTGTCTCTATCTCCATCCATCACAAGATGAAGGTTCTATGATGATATGCAAGATATTCGTCAGTATTGCTATGGGATAGGGTCATTTCAGGTTCCCTA